AAAAAGCAGGCCGGTTAACCGAACCGGATTAAATGGATGAGAAAAAGACTCTAAACCCCCGAACCGAATTAAACCAGTTTGGATCCGGTTTGAACCCCTGAACCGTCCGAAAAAAACCGAACCGATTTCGGTACAATGGTAGTGCAACTGTTGCTACAAGGTGTAATATGACATAGACTTGGGCTGTAAGAACGATTTGTGGATGTGGAGGCACAAACCAAACAGAACGAGGCGTTGAAATAATTTCCGTGAGGTATTATGTGTAGCGCAGATATATAAGAGGGTTTTCAATGAACAGCAGAGGAAAGTTAGGTTCATAAACTAAGGTAGAGGATCTATAATAACAATTTGATGTATTCTGTAGTACAGAAATATCCATTTGGTCAGGTTAAAATTAAGAAACTACTTACTGTGGGCAAAGTTTCGGTTCTGAGAATCAAGCAACCTACGAAAATTATGCATCTGAAAGAGGTGGCTTATGGGCTAGCAAGGTAATGTGAATTATTCTTTCATAAATCATGCATTCATCATATATATCTCATCTAGCTTTCTGCAATATTAGGGGTAGGAGAGACTAGGTCTACAACATAGCTTTATGACCCTCCCCTTAGCCCGAAAAAACCGAAATAATGATACTTCATCAGAAATTAATAGACAATGATCTCAGGTGTGTGCAGATTTTTGTGAAATGGAATTAATTCGGCCCAAAACCGAAACCGATTCGAACCGATCTGAATTTCGGTTGGGCCGAATATTCGGATGAAGGAGAAAAAATCTGGATCTGGATGAGTTTTGAGAATTTAAAAAATTCGGATTGGATGCGGATTGAGCTTAAAACCGACCCGAACCGAATATGCCCAGCCCTATTTATTTCCCAAGATTTAATTATTTCAGATTCAAATTTGTATAACTCCCGTTTAGAAAACAATCTTTATTCAAGACTAGACAGCAAGCAAATTTAGAGCCTGGGGTCCTCCAATAAAATAGCTGAAGCAAGCTTCAACGCTCTCATCAAATTCTGGCCGGACCTTAAAATTATATAGTGAACTAAAACGGCCATTAAATTCTTCATTCTCTTACGTCTTGCAGAGATAAGTACTGCTAAGGGCCCAAACAAGAAATTTCTCACCAAATTCAAAGGTATTCTTAAAATTTATATATGTAGTTAAGAGGTTAGGAAAGCAAAAATATGGAACCATAATAGAATTGTGGTTGCGGTGGCTTTTTAACAGATGTATTTTCTTTTGGCGAGTTGTGAATTTGTGATGTTTGTTTGTTGCAATTTTTTTTGAGGTAAAATATGGCAAGTTGCCCTAACATAATCTGTATATATAATGTATTAAAAACCAAAACACCTTACATAGATATTTATCTACTTGTGATTTGCACGGAATCCACATTTGTAGAGGAGCGGACCTATGTCGTCACTCAACTAGAGGAATACTCATGAAATCACTCTTAGATACCTCAGGAATATATACAAAAGTAAGGATTATAAAGTAGCAATCCAAAATCAGGTGTGTTAATTACAAAGATACTGTCCAAAAGATGATGAAAGGTAGGCGGTGGATCTGCAGGCTCATGCTGATTAATGGATCCTTGCATCCCCATCGCTGTCTTCACTGGATGAAATTACATTCGAGAAGCCTCTCTCCCGGGTGAGATTTTTTAGCTTGAGGGTCTTCTTCGATGATGCTGCACATGTCCAGAAAATCATATAGTGAGCGATATTGGAGACCAATTGTTGAGGGGTAGAGACTATGCCTGAGTGAATGAGGTTATTGCATGCGAGCTCTCCATAGGACCCAGCAGATGGTAGGAAAGCATAATCCCCATAGTTTTCATACTAAAGTCTTAACATACCCATCGAAGCATATATCAAAACAATGATTGGTGTGACGAGGGAGGGATGAAATGCCAATTCTAGGAAGAAGAAATGCCCAAACTTGTTTGGTGAATTGGCAGGAGAGAAAAAGGTGGTCGTGTGATTCCTGGTCGCTGCAAAAGGAACAGGATGAGTCTCCTATACCCACCTTTGTTGAGAAGCTTGTCCTTGATCTTCAGTTTAGCCATGGAGAATAGCCAAAGGAAAAACCTAACTCTGCTAGGAAGTAAGATATTCCAGATAACAGAGCAATGAGGATAACGAACACGTCCATCAGATAGCAAGGGGTACAGAGATTTAACTGTAAAGATCCCGGAGTTATTGATGGACTTCAGTTTGTTTGTTGCTATTAGTGAAGTTTAACTAAGTTAAGAATCTACATCGGAGGTAGGTTTTATGAATTACGATTTCCTATGACATTTGAGTGGAGAGACGAAAACATCTATTTAATTCGATTAGTTCCTTTTAATTCGTTTCTGCTACATAGATTCAAACCTTCTCTAATTAGTATGCTCTTTAGACTAATGTTTCGAACTGTAGAATATAGTCCAGACATAATCAAGTAAATGTGGAGCCTAATATACAGAATATTTATAAGTTCATAGATCATTTGTAGAAAAGAAGTAATTAGAAAGATTTACTTAGAATTTTTCTTTCCTTATTACTGCTTGTGGACGTCTTATAAAAGGGAAACGGGTAGCTACAACTGCATATGCATTTACCTAAAATTGAAATGGCTTTGAAATTGATACACATGCTATTTATAACTTATGTCGAGGAGGAAGCTACGGTAGAGTAGATAAATATCAAAACAACTTTATATAGATTAAATTCTCAAAAAGAGAAACGCACATTCTAAAAGAATAAATTCTCTGAAATCTGATATTGTCTGTTGTTGCAAATATTTGTGGTAACAAGTTTACACGTGTGCTACTGCATGTGCAGATTACAATTGTTTTTTTCCTTTGTTTTGCAGAATGCCATACGCCTCTATACGCCAAGAGACATTAATTACAGCATATGAAACTAGATTGGAAGGAGGCAAAACAAAAAATCCAGAACAATGAGGTAATTCTCAGTTGCAAATCAATTCTTTTTTTTTATATACAGTAGAAATCTGGGTGAGATATCCTGTTCATTTCATATAATATAAACTGTCAAACAAATTAACAAACTTGAAAATGGGGATCAAAGTGGAAAATAACCAAATGATTAATCTAGAGATTAGGGAGAGGACTTTGTCATCACCTAATGCATAGTAAAAATGTAAGATAAATTCGACAAGACCCCATTAAAAGGCAACTAACATATTGCTAAGGGTGGACATACAGCATACCGATATTTACACCACATAGTTCCAAGCACATAAAAGTTTATAGCAGACACAATCCTAAAACCCAAGACCCAAATCAGAAACCGAAGTCTTGAACATTGATGAAAAAAAATGAGGCTATGGGGCCTTGAGAAGGTTATCGCCAGCCGCATCTTCTACTTCGTCATGCAGCAGGTTCCTCACCCTGTGGTCTCTTGCTGTCTTGTACACACGCTCGGCATTTCTACTATTGGAAAATCCTATCCAAAATAGCACAAAATGTGCTATGTTAGATGCAAGCTTTTGAGGGGAGGTCTTGATGTAGAACACACTGCGAACAAATTCATGGAGAAGCAGAACCGACACAAGCCCAAATGCGGACCCGGTCGAGAAAAATAATTTGCATTAATAACGGGTCATATCTCTCAAACCGTAAGTCAGAATTGGACAAATTATATATGTAAATCGCGTATTTTTCGAGACAGAGTCAACTAAACCCATCGATGTTCGGTTTGTGACCGTCCGTTCTGCCAAATTCCCTCTGAAATTGAGAGATATCAACGTTTTGTCAATTTTTTTACTATTTTAGGTAATATATTAGGAGTCTGTTTTGATTAGGAAGCAAATCCGGTTTGATTCCAAATTTGATCGATTTACTCCCCTAATCCTAGAGAGTCTTTTAGGAAGAGTTTTGTTATTTCTATTTTTTGTAAAGTTTGAGTCATAGTAGGAGTCTTGTTCATTTTTTATTTAAGCAGAGTATTGTAAGCCCTAGAGGTATAACTTTTTGTCAATAAAATTTCTCTTTTAATATTTTCTTCGTGGATTCAAAGTTCTTCGTGGATTCGGAGATCGTTCTTTGTGCATTCAGAGAACACCCCGTGGTAAATTCTGAGGTTATCACTTACACGCTGCGTCAGGTCTGGGAATCATTGAATATAGAGTTGTTCCGACTACTCCAAATGCACCAACAAAAGGTAGGGAGGAGCACTCTCCATAGAGATTGCATCCTGCTGGTTAACGAGAATTTGCCATTATCTTTCAGCATTTTATACTAAATCCCCAATAACTTTTCAAAATCAGAATAAACCCCCCAATAACTTCTGCAAAACCCTCCATTATCTCTTGGGTAAATTACTAAACCCAAATAACTTCAAAATGACTTTTTTGGTGTTTTATGCTTCTAATTTATAGGGTTATCTGTAAATGCAGAAATTTATTGGGGGTTTTCTACAAAACGCAAATGTTAATACTTACTTTTTTTGTTGTATGTGTGTGTTGGGTTGTTAGTAAAAGTTCTCGCTGTTTAGTGACTTGTATTCATCTAATATCATGCAAGTTACCACTGTAGCACATGTGATTTAAAACATAAAAAAATATTTTCATTTGGCAATGGAAGATATGCACTTATTTCAGCTAGCACAGTTACATTTTTAGCGACTTGTATTCATCTCACATTTATTCAAGACAAACCATAATCATTCCCAAATAACAAATAATTATGATTGAAAAAGTGAACTCGTTATTATCTATCTTTAATGAATAATATCTAAACCTGTACTGACAAAGGCCCAATCCCTTTGAGAAATTATACTAATCCTGATTCATTAGTACGTGTACACAATTCAAGGATATTTACATTTTAATTTGATACATCATGCCGCAATAAATTGAAACATTTAAATTAAATATTTCACTCTCTCGACGGTGGTGCATGCATCGCATTGTCGCTGATCTCAACAATGAGAGAGAGAGCGCTAAAACCAAAGAAATGTCTCCACGTTTCACCCTGCATTTAAACTCCAAGAAGCGGTAATACTCCCCTCCCCTCTCTTCACAATTGAAACCCCTTCACCGAAAACATTTAACACCAACACGACGCATCCTAAGCTCTCTCTATTTATTCCCCCACCACCACGTACCGCTCCAACTCCTACTAACCGAGACAACTAGCTTTAGACACAAAATGCACCGAGCGTTCCTCCTCCTCCTCTCAATTCTTCTGTCTCTTGGCAGCTCATTTTCTGCTAGAATCCCCGCTATTATAGTATTTGGGGACTCGACAGTCGACACCGGCAACAACAATAGGATCCCGACGGTTCTGAAGAGCAATTTCAGACCGTACGGTCGGGATTTTATAGGGGGGAGACCGACGGGGAGGTTCTGTAACGGGAGGTTGGCCACGGATTTCATATCGGAGGCGGTCGGGCTCGGGCCGGTCGTGCCCGCTTACCTCGACCCCTCTTATTCGATCCGGGACTTCGCGACCGGCGTTTGTTTTGCGTCGGCGGGGACTGGGTTGGATAACGCGACGTCGGATGTTCTGGTGAGTTTATTTCATTTGTTAACCTTCTCAGGTAAAAAAATTTTAACAAAAAAAAAAGCCTCGCTAATGCAACCCTTAATTTTATTGATGATCATACATGAGGCTTTTTCTGTTAAATTTCTAAGATGATAATTATTCTTGAACTTTCAGATGCAGAGATCTCTTAAAACTAAGGTATAAAGAGTGTTGATATCCAAATAGGGGACCCAATACATGGGACATGTGAGGTGTCACCATCCGGTTGCATGATGCACTGTTCATAAACAGTGCATCATGCAACCGGATGGTGACACCTCACCTGTCCCATGCCTTGAGTCCCCTATTTGGGTCTCAAGGCATTAATGATATGTTTTGTCTAGGAGTAAAGATTTATTATTATTTTTTTCATTCTTGTGTCATGGTCTAAATTAACTCTCCTTGTGTGCCTACTCGGCTACTCCTACAAGCGAGGGATTGTATGTGGTGATGCTATTTTAGATAGTTTTGTCTACTGTTTGCGTCCTGAAGAGGATTCTGCTGACACATAAATAATAAGAGCAAAATCAAACCATACGGAATTCTCAGGCTCAAGCAAATGCGTCTGATATGACCGTATCAGAGTCACATTTATTGGCTGGCAAGAAATTTACTACTTGAAGTTTACCGTGGGACAGCATACGAGCTATTGAGTGGGATATCTACGAGGAAATGGCAATCAAGCATGGTGACATTTACTCGAAGGGTTTTTTTTGGATGGTAGCCCCTTACATCTTTAATAATTGCACAGTAGCCTCTCGGATCTTAAAATTTGCACATTAATCCCTCAAATTCTATACGGTCTTGCGAAATGATCCCTCGGTTAGTATTTCAATTAAAAAAACTCTAACCACGACTAGGTTAACTCCTAATAAAACATTTGTAATTACGAGATTACCCTTCCCTCTGATGTTTTCGGCCTTTGTAAAAGCTCAATTTTGGGTTAAGTTTCTTTTTTAACTATTAGAGAAGAATAACTCAAGTAGATTTGGGATTTTTTTTAAGCGGGCATTGGTTTAAACCCATTAAAAAGTAAGTTGAGAACATAATAGAGGGATGAAATTGTTGCTTTGCCTCCAACCGTTAGATTTGATCACTAAATATTCCTCTCGAATCTAGCTCGATTTAACTAGAAGGATTACAATACCCTATAGGATTTGAGGGGCTACTATGCAATTTTTAAGATTTAAGTTAATTACTAATATACAATCAATGAAGATTTAGGGGACTAATATCTAAAAAACCCTTACTTAAAATGCTACTATTTAGAAAAATAGTGAAATATAGACATCAAGTGATAGTACTTGAGCATTTTTGAGTCTCTTCCTCTGAGGGAAATTAGAGAATGCAATTAATGTACAAAAATAACATCTTATACTATTACTTTTCATATATCATTTTATTCTTCTCTTAACTTTTTATGATCCTATCTCAATTTTTTAAGTAAGACAATTCTCTTAGACCGGATATTTATCCACTTCACACACACACACTAGACTAATCTGTTTATATAGGAAAAATTATACAATAATCTCTACTCTTAGCATTAGTAGTGTTTTCAAATGGATGCCCAATTATGCATCAATATACTAATCCTCACTCCACTACCCCAATAATGACTTATCATTAATAATATGGGCCCGAAACTGTTGACTAGTTGGAAAACATCAAGTTCGACCAGTTTTCCCTGTATTTGCATGTTTCAGTGAGTTGTATTAAAGTTTATCCTTGGAACTCTACTTTCATGATTTCAAGACCAATGTGCAATCAGGGCAGGGCCATTATTCTTGTGAAAGGGCCCAAGGCTGTCTATTGGCCCACCATTTTAATTCACTTTATGGGAAGTGGGCCCGCATCTACATGGCTCACTGAAGTAGCCAGGTATTCAACAAATACAAGTCATTTCTGTCCCGTTGCAAGCTTTGGAGTAGGGCTGGGCGTATTCGGTTCGGTTCGGTTTTAAGCCCAATCCGCATCCAATCCGAATTTTTCGGATTCTCAAAACTCTCATCCAGATCCAGATTTTTCCCCTTCATCCGAATATTCGGCCCAACCAAAATTCAGTTCGGTTTTGAACCGAATTAACTCCATTTCACAAAAATCTGGGTAAGTTTTAGTTATATCCAAAACTGAAAAGAAGCAATCAAAACTGAAAAGAAACAATCAAAACTGTACAAAGCCACTTAATCAAATTGTATGATCTGAATATAACTAGCTTAATACACTAGGAGGACCATGTAATTATGTAGCCTTTTTTAGAGAAAGAACAATGTTTGGCAGGCGCACACACCTTTTGATGATTTTCGTTAATTTTTAGCTGCCTTTTTCTCATCAAGAATTATCTTATATCCTTGACAGCCTATACTATAGGTTAATTTGATATCCAGCACCAGCAAGCTGTATTCATGTTATCACTGAAATTTGACCAAAACACTAAATTTATCCTTCAACCTCAACATCTTGTATTGATTTACGGAAATCTCACTTAACTATATCAGCGTACTCAAATATATGTTAGTATAAACTCCACCCCACAATTCTTAAATGCTAAACATTCAGCCATAAATTTTCTTCACACCCAAGGCTCGCAGCTACTTTTTGTTTAAGAATTCGGTTCGGTTTTTTTTGGGCGGTTCAGGGGTTCAAACCAGATCCAGACCGGTTTAATTCGGTTCGGACGGTTTAGAGACTTCTTCTCATCCATTTAATTCGGTTCGGTTAACCGATCCATTTTTTCGGGCGGTTTTTTCGGTTGAACCTGTTTGTTTCGGTTTTTGCCCACCCCTACTTTGGAGTACACTGTGGCAGACTGTCTAACTCTGGATTTTGGACCAAAATTTAAATCGAGTCAACTATCAGGATTTTTTAAGGACTAGATTTTATTATCTTAACAATATTGTGTTTAAGCCTCTGAAGATCTTCCACTGGGCCTTATGTTGGGCCGTCATAAGCTTTATGTTGTTTTTCAGGGAGTCATTCCATTGTGGCGAGAGGTGGAGTACTTCAAAGACTACCAAAAGAAACTAAGGCGATATCTCGGCAGGGAAAAAACAAAATACGTAATAAGCGAAGCGATCTACATCATCAGCATCGGGACCAACGACTTCCTAGAGAACTACTTTGCTTTTGTAACGGGCCGGTTCAAGCAGTTCACCGTGGACCAATACGAGGATTTCTTAATCGGGCTCGCCGGAGAGTTTATAAGAAAAATTTATTGGTTGGGGGCCCGCAAAATTTCTTTCACCGGCCTAAGCCCAATGGGCTGTTTGCCATTGGAGAGAACTACAAATGTTTTGAATGGACACGGTTGCATCGAGGAGTACAATAAAGTGGCGCGAGATTTTAATGTTAAGCTTCAGGCTTCGATTGAGGAGCTTTGTGCGTCGCTTCCTGGGTTAAGGCTTAGGTATAATGCGGTTTATGAGCGTTCATTGACAATTATTCAGAATCCGTCGCTTTATGGTAAGTCAGGCCCATTAACTGCAAGCCCATTTGGTTTTTTATTTTATATTTGGATTAATACTAGATACACACTATACTATAGGGTATTTCTCAAATAAAAGGTATCACACGAAGTCAATGTCTTACAGATAGACCCGTATTTGGCCCTTTTCTCTCATCTTTTTTTTTTTAATATATAGAAAAGATAGTCTATGGCTCAAAATTCTTAAACTGAAACGGAAAATAAAATAAAAATACTAGTAAACTTACATGATCAATTAGCAACTTCGCCTACTCTTAATCATAATCATCATTAGCATGGTTTTCCCGTAGGATTTATTTTAGCCTAGATTGAGCTCCATATTAATTTTATTTCACCCGCTTTTGCGATAAGATTTTTTTTTTATCATGTCCAACGTGTGATGCTAGGACTCGAGAATGTACGCGAAGGATGTTGCGCTACGGGCAAATATGAGATGGGATATTTATGCAACGAATGGGATCCTCACACGTGTGCCGATGCAAACAAGTACATGTTTTGGGATTCGTTTCATCCTACGGAGAAGGTGAACCGTTTGATGGCGATCTCTACACTCAACACGAGCTTAGCTGAGTTCGTGTGAGAGCTTAATTAGTAATTGAGGAAACAAGTACATGTTTTTGTATACAAGCGTGCATTTGTAATTGTACATGTAGTATTATTGTGTGTGTGTTTATTCATAATCTTACCTAGCTGTTTTCAGCAAAAGTTGGTTCTGTTGAGGAATTCACTATATCTTCTTTTGATTACAACAAATTCAAAGAAATAATCTTTTTATAAGATCTTTTTTACACAACAAAGCAAAATTTACAACTCTTGAGAAAATAACACAAAAATCGTCTATCGATTCTTGTTTTTGTGGGACTTTGCCTGTGCCGGGAACGCTTTGGTTCGTGGACCGCCGAATCACAGATCGTGAAGGGGGTTTACTGATTCTGACTTCGTTTATCGAAGTGAGAACTTGAAACGATATCTTATCAAAGTAAGATAGCCGTTCTTCTTAAAATCAAGTCAAAGCTTAATTTCAAAGAGTTGCACGAAATCTCAAATCTGCTCTCTCTGTTCTGGATTGCTCGAAAATATGCTCGATCCTCCTCAGTAGTGACCCTAGGGGGGGTATTTATAGCCTCTGGGGTTCATAACTGAAAAAACTCAACAAACGACGAAATTAGACTGGCGAGACAGTGTTTACTGTCTCGCTGGGCGAGACAGTGTTTGCTGTCTCGGCCCGCGAGACAGCAAATACTGTCTCGGAAACAGTAACCGCATGCAGTTTTCGTTTTAACTGCTTTCCCACGTTTCAAACTCCGTTATTTTGGCAGTTATCCACGTGATTTTCGCCCACGATGTTTCCCACGTCCCTTGGCAGTTAATGGACACGTGTAGGGCAGTTACAAAGGTGGTTTTGACCATTTCAACACTGTCTCGCTGGCGAGACAGCAAATACTGTCTCGCTGGC